TCCCATGCCCTGTCAGTTACCCTGGAGCATGGAGGGGCGGGGCGAAGGTGGAGATCCGGATCCGGAGCGGCTGAAAGGCGGAAGTGGAGGCCGGAGCCTGGGACACCGCCGGGGGGGAGAGGAGCGGAGTCGGCCCGAGCCCCCACCCCACAGGACGCCGCCGCCCCGGAGCCTCGGTGAGTGTGCCCGTCCCGGGATCAGAGTCTCGCCTGCGCTGAAGCATCTTCGGAGCCGCCTCTTCCTCCCGCCCAGTCCCGGCTTAGGGGGTATTGACCCCTCCCCCGACCCGTAGCCCCCTCTTTAGGCGCTCCCTCGGCATCGGGCCAAAGGGGGAGCCCCTCTTTACTTCGCTAGCCTGTCAGGCGGGAACCTGGGGAACTTCCGCGGCCCGCCCCGGCCTCTCCAGCCCGGTGGTGGAGAGAGGGACCCCAAGTTCCTCTTCCCCTGCTCCCGGAATGTGAGGGGCTCCGCCAGGTGCGAAGGAGCCTGTCTCCCTTCTCCTTTAGAAGTGTCAGGGAGTGCTGTCTGTCCACGCTTTTCCTCTCGGCGTCCCATCCGAAACAGTTGTCTCCTCCAGCCCCGGAGAATTTTTATCTCGCTTTCCTTCGGGCGGCGGGTGGCGGGCGGGGGAGGGGTCTGGGCAAGTCGGATCCACAGCTCCGAAGTTTGCTCCCCAGCTCCTCGCTTCCAGTCCTTCCCAAGCCAGGACCTTGGCGGAGTTTGAAATCGGGTTACTGAGTAGGGACTAGCTGTCTTCTTGTTTCCTCTCCTGTTCCCCAGCCCTGTCCTCTGGTTCTGTTGTTTTTTCCATATCTTTCTTCCTGCCTCTGAAGAATTTAGCTGAGGCTTGCTCAATCTTAGCTCTAGATCACGGATCCGGGTGGATCTGCTCATTCATTATCTTCTCTCCTCCTCCTCCCCCTTCCCCCCCAGCTCAGGCTCAGTCCTGCCCTCCCAGAGCACGTGAGTGGTTTCCAAGCCGCCTCTGAGGACTGCTGACCTGTAGGGATGAGAATCAGCCCGAGCATGAAGACGCTGGGGTCAGGGGCACCTCTTTCCTACCCCCACGTTTGCCACCCTGAACAGCAGTTCCCGCCACACCAAGGTCTCCGGTTCATTCTGGCTTGGACTTGTTGCAGAGGAATAAGTTGAGATCCCAGTGGGCCCTCTGCACTCTTAATGTGCTAATATTTTGGCTGCAGGAGTTCACATACATGCAGGGAGTGCTGGCCCCCAACTCAGGACACTTGGGCCTTAGGCACTGCTTGGAACATAAGTGTGTGAAATGGCTGCTGTCTCAGACCAAGCTGGAAGGCTTTTTCATTAAGTGAGCAAAGTACAGGCCTGAGACTGTGCCTTAATGAGGAGTAGCCTGGCTCTGAGGCCAGGACTGACCCTTGCTATCTGTGGGGAGGAAGGGAAGGAAAACTGTGCAAACTTTGGGAGTTTCTGTAGCTCTTCAGCGTCTCGGGCCACTTTAACTTGAGCTCTTGGACGCAGCTTATGAAAGCTAAAGTTTTGCTTTGAGAGCTTTTTGACTACATCTGCACAGCTGCTAGTGTCTGATTCCTGCGATTTGCTGCTGTTGTTTTTTTGTTGTTGTTTTGTGGGAGTTTTGGGGGTTTTTTTGGTACCAGGAATCAAACTTGGAACCTTGGGCTTGCAAGGCTGGCCGCGGAACCACTGAGCTAAATCCTAGGCCTGATTTGCTGTTGTTTTTTAATTTACATTTTGGGGAGGGGACCAGGGATCGAACTTGGGTCCTTGCGCTTGTAAGGCAGGCGGCAGAGCCGCTGAGCTAATCCTGGCCCATTGTTGTTTTTGAGACAGGATCTGGCTGTGTAGCCCAGGCTGGCCTTGAACTCTCAGCAACCCTGCCTCAGCCTCCCAAGTGCTGGAATTACAGGTGTGCGCCATCACACCTGGCTCTGATTACTGTAACATTTTGAGAGCCAGACCTGTGATGCACTTATCTCCCTTTATAATGGACAGCAGTAGAAAACGGAAAGCCCTGCCTGGGGTCACTGGCTGGATCGCAAGCTCTCTATCTGTGTGGCCACCCCGTCCTCAGATCTGGGCAGTGTGTGCCTGAGGGGCGTGGTCACTGCTCTCTGCAAGGCTTAGCTCTTCAGGAGAGGACTGTGATTCAGGGTGCGCCTCAGGAGTCCTGGGATGAGGCAGGCCGGCTTCAGGGGGACTCTTCCTGCCTTTGTGTGGACAAACCCTCCGGCTCCAAAACAAGCTTTAGGAGGAGAAGCAAGGCAATCAGAGCCCAGGAGGCGATGCAGCTTCTGGCATTCAGAAATTACAGGGTCCCAGTGGGCAGAGGTGTGGCACCGCTCCAAAGGGCAAGCTGGGGCTCTGATGGGTGTCTTCTGCCTTCCTGCTGCAGGAGGGCCGCACCAGCTTGTAATGCTTACAAGTTGCAAAGTAGCACAATTCTCTGCACCCACATTACTCCCAAGGGTTCCGATGGCAGTGGTTGAGTTTGTATCTGCACTGCAGAGACGGTCTTGGGGGCCTGGGCGCCAAGACTGTGCAGTTAGAGGATCAGGCCAGGCCTGGGACTGGGCCGGGTGTAAGCCCCTCCTCCACACCCTGCTCCCATCTGGCCTCCTGTTGCTCCAGTAAATGAATGGATGAGCAGGGCGTGTGTGGAAGGGCACAGTGAGGCCCCTTGCCGCCCAGCTTCCTGGGCACTGGACTCTGCCTTGGCTTCGGTGTCCCTCCCTGTGTCTACCCCACGTCCGCTCCCCTGCCTCTGCTTCCGGAGGCCATGAGGGAGCCGTAGGCCAGGCCTCTCCAGGCCGGCACTTGC